GCAGTCATCTGCCGACCGGACCTATCGTACTCGGCAAGTCAACTTGCCACCTACCTCAAGAAACCTGAAGCAGAACATATGGCGGAGCTCGACCGTGCTCTTCACTACCTCGTCAGTACCCCGACGATCGGCCTAACCTACCACAAGAACGGAACCACAACGCCTAAATTAATCGGCTACGTCGACGCCGACCACGCCGGAGATTCTGACAACAGGCGCTCGCGCACCGGCTACATCTATCGCTTCGAGCCTATCGGACCTATCTCCTGGCAGTCGAGCAAAAAGGAGTTAATCACCCTCTCCTCAGCTGAAGCAGAATATATCGCACTCTGCTCAGCCACCAAGGAAGGATTGTACCTTCGCGAATTACTGGAAGAAGCGAAGCTGGCTCAGTTACCCAGCTTCTCCCTGTTCTGCGACAATCAGTCGGCAATTCGCATAGCAAATAAGAACGGATTCGCGAACAGAACGAAACATATCGCCCTGCGATACTTTTTTGTGAAGGACGAGATCGAGAAGGGGAGACTCGAGCTGTCATACTGCCCCACGTCCGAGATGGCAGCCGATTACTTGACCAAGAAGCTCGGAAAACAGAAGTTCGAATACTGCATGCTGCTGACTGGACAGAGCCACGTCATCAGCAGCGACACTCCAGAAGCGAAGGGGAGTGTTGGAAACAAATGATTTAAGCGCCTCTGTCGTGTCGAAACACTGAGTCGTAAACGAAGCAAGCAACAACGCTACAACGGCGACTCAACCATCGGAGGTTGATATGCACAAGCAACTGCTGGAGGTTACGCGAAAGTCAAAGGTCAGCAACCTTTGACCTGACAAGTACAGTACGACAGCAAGGACACACAACCGACTCGTTATTGAGCGGTTGCCCGAGTCGTCACTGTATCGAACCGCAACAGCAACAGTAAAACGGTTATTAGTTAAAATCCATTCGTATCCCTTGTACTCTTATAAAAACCTTGTATCTCCTTGTTTCTAATCAATCTACTTTGCCCTCACATACCAGCGCAAGGTGGTTCAACAATCTTCATTAAAACGCTTCCGCTATTACATCATTCCTACCAGGAGTTTAGTCCTGCAAAGATCCTAAGGGCTTTTCTCAGCCCAACAGTACTTGAACCCAATCCTCCCAATAGTCAATCCATTCCTGTCTAGTTTCTCAGAGGTAATGGTGGGCCCTTGACCTCAATAGCAGAGTGAATGTAAAATGCTTGAGATAATTAAAACATGCAAATACAGTACAAGGATATAAATAGTAGTACACGGGAATTCGAAACGTCCTAGCTAGCAATGTACTCTAAGGGGCACATTCCCTTATTCGAATTCAAACCAACCGTGCGGTGTGAGCAGTTACGAAACTGTTCGGGCCAATTCCCTCGTGCCTGTAGCTGCCCGATGCCGTTTGCTCCGACGGTCCAGACCAGATTCATTCCAACCGTCTGTGTCGCTTCGAGCCAATTCTGACTCCTCGCATTCATTCTCAATACTGCGTACTTCCCTTAGCTGCGGTTAGGAGTGCACAGTAATGTTTCATTCATTACTATTCGTAAGACTCGACATAATATTTTGCCGTGCACTACGCAACCATATTATTATGCATATGATTTGTGCACATGATTTCCTTCTATTATGCAGATAATTTCACCGGTGTAGTGTACACTACCCTGTTTGATTGATGACAATTATCACATTAGCACTTCGCTACGTGCTCGTAATTATGTTGAAATGGGTGTATCATGAGGACCTTATAGTGGGATGACGAATTTTGCGCTTATACCTGTATCGAGTCGTACTTTAACAACCATGCACATTCCCAAATCCATTCGCGAGCAAATTTGTATCCGCAGAGAATTTCTGGTAAGTGCTTCTGTTTGCCTAGGCATTGTGCATATTAGTGATAATAGTGTGTTCCCACGATGTACTTGGAGCATAGAGAGAGCATAGTACTATCATTGTTTTCGGAGGCTAAATTTTGTAGAGCTTTCCCCGTGCGACCATGCGCGGCGCGCAGCTATTCCCCGTGACCCTGTACTGGCGCGCGCTCGCGGTAGCGCTGGTGCTGGCGGGGACGGGGGGGGGGGGGTGGCAATTGGGAGGGCGGCGGGGCGCGAGGGAGCAGGGGTTACGTGGCAATGGGGGGCTTATGGGGGAGACGCGCGGGCGGGTTTGAAACAACAGGTTGTTGCTGCTGCTGCTGCTGCTGCTGACCGTGCTTCTGCCGACCGTGCTTCTGCTGACCGTGCTTCTGCTGACCGTGCTTCGGTTGGCGATGCTGCTGCTGGAAACGTTGCTGAGAACATACACGAGGAAACAGCAGCGGCCAGCAGCACTGGCGGTTCTGATCGTGCCGTCCATCGGGTGCTAGCGGCAGGTAGTGCGGTCGAGGCAGCATCACTGTCACTACCACTGCCGTCAACGACACTACAGTCACCCTTGCTGGAACGGCCGGTGCAGCCAGCCAGCAGCCTCCCACCAGGTGACCTGTCACTCCCACCAGGTGACCTGTCACTCCCACCAGGTGACCTGTCACTCCCACCAGGTGACCTGTCACTCCCACCAGGTGACCTGTCACTCCCACCAGGTGACCTGTCACTCCCACCAGGTGACCTGTCACTCCCACCAGGTGACCTGTCACTCCCACCAGGTGACCTGTCACTCTGCCTCCCACCCAACCTTCTCTCCCTTCATCCCTGCGTTCCTTGTCGCGTGACTCGTGTTTAGCCGGCAGAGTGACGTGGGCTCTTGACGAGATATTCCTGTGCAACAGTACACGAGCCAGGGGCAGCAGCGGTGTAGTACGAGTTACATTACAGAAGATTTTATGGGGAGAGAGAATCAAGATGGGGAGAGAGAATCAAGATGGGGAGAGAGAATCAAGATGGGGAGAGAGAATCAAGATGGGGAGAGAGAATCAAGATGGGGAGAGAGAATCAAGATGGGGAGAGAGAATCAAGATGGGGAGAGAGAATCAAGATGGGGAGAGAGAATCAAGATGGGGAGAGAGAATCAAGATGGGGAGAGAGAATCAAGATGGGGAGAGAGAATCAAGATGGGGAGAGAGAATCAAGATGGGGAGAGAGAATCAAGATGGGGAGAGAGAATCAAGATGGGGAGAGAGAATCAAGATGGGGACAGAGAATCAAGATGGGGAGAGAGAATCAAGATGGGGCTGTGAGCGTGCGGGGTGAGCACTGAGCTGCGTGGAATGGGCATTGAGCAAGGCGTTGCCCCTGGGCTGCTCTGGGGTAGTCACGTCACCCAACTTGGCAAGACGAGCATTACAGCGCCCACCACATTGGGTTCTGCACGGTATTTCTCAAGTAGTAGGCAAGGCCTCGTGGTCAGTCAGTACAGGTGTACATAGTTTGAGAAGTTGCTGCAGAATCGCACACGCCTAGGCTTGGTACAGTACAATACGGCGACGAGGGTGTAGCCCTGGATAGGATAGCTTGCACCCAGCGCAGTTGCGGGATGCCGAGAGGTATCAGCAGCGCAAGCTGATGGAAGGCTCGGCTGGCAGGAGTGCGATGGTTGAAGGCTGAGAGGTGGTAACGTCACCAGTCAAAGGCACACAACACCTTGGACTTGCCTGTGGGGCCCAGGCAATGGAGTGTGAAGGAGATCAAGAAGTCAGGAGTAGGAAGCAGAGTGGGCGGTAGAAGGACGGTGCGAGTGTATGACCAACCAATGTAGCTGCTCTCCTGCACGCCATCCGTAAGAGCTGGTACCTTGACTCGAGCAGCAACAGCTCGGGCCGGAGCAAGGGAGGGGGCATAATAGTGTGAGGGGTAGGAGGGTAAGCGGCGTCAGAGATGAGTCTGACCATACCATGCACCAGCAAGGCCAGCAAGGCCAGCAAGGCCAGCAAGCCAGCAAACCCAGCAAGGCCAGCAAGCCAGCAAGCCAGCAAGGCCAGCAAGGCCAGCAAGGCCAGCAAGGCCGGCAAGGCCTCCCTAAGCCATGACAGTTCCTCTGCAGCAATGCTAAAGGGTGGGAAACATGGCAGTTCCTCCTTCCCTTTTCTCTCCTCCCTCCTTCCTTCTCCTCCTTCCCTCCTCCCTCTTCTCTCATCCCTCTTGCCTCTTCCTCCCTCCTCCCTCTCCTGAATTCCCAACTCCCTCAACACCACACCTTGGTCGTTCACAAACTGCAGCTTCCTAACGCTCCGCAGTACCTCACCCCCCACTTTTTTCCAGGCCTTTCTCATTTGGCTCTCCTTCCTTCCCAACTTCCCCTCTCATCATCCGTATCCGCCCCTCTCTCTTGCCTCTTCCTCCACACCCTCATCCCTCCTCACCCCGTGGAGCAGAGTGCAGGGACGGCAGTGCTGCAGCAGCAGTGACAGTGGAGACCCGCCGCCATGACTATCTCTTTCCAGATTCCATTTCCTTGATGGAACTCCACCCGTACGAGGTATTCCCCTCCCTCCTTTTCACCCTTACAAAACCACGTCCCCACGTTATCGTGCTTGCCACAAACACCACAAACACCATCGTAAGGTGAGATTCATGTTCGGAATGAAAACACACTGAAATAATGAAGAATGGCAAGCACTAGCAGCCCTTAAATGGGCAGGGAGGGCAGAGGGCAGAGGGAAGAGGCTGAGGGCAGAGGACTAAGCTATCCCTTAAATGGAACCCAAACGATATAATGAGGAGAAGCAAGGTCAAACAGCCCTTAAATAGGCAGGGAGGGCAGAGGGCAGAGGGATGAGGCAGAGGGCCGAGGGCTAAGGTATCCTCTCTCTCAAGCAGTCCTTCATTGATGTTGCTTATAGGATACAGGCATGCAAGTGCTGGTTCTAAACAAGTAGGTTACCCTAGGCAAGCATGCTGGCTGGTAGACAAGCAATGAGACAAACCGAGCAACCACCCCAGTCAACTATGGCTGCTTGTACCCGTCAAGAAGGCCTCCAGGATCACCTCCCTCTGCTAGCCGCCACTATCACTCCGCCCCCACTATTCAGGTCCATCCCCCTTAGGTGTCTACACCCCTCCTAGGTCGTCGTCCAGCACCTGCCATAAGTCCCCCAGGCTCGGCTCCCAGGGGTCTGCAAGGGCCTGGGGGTATGCCGCCTCCGCAGCCATATTTGATTTGTTCATGAAAGATGTTGCCTGGGAGCGTTGCAGCATGACGGACCAGCGCTGCCTGTAGTGAGCAGTTAGGCGGCTGGCGGTTGTGGTAAGAGGGCCCTGGCGGAATTTCTTCTTTGCTGCCGCTGTTGCCAGGAGCCGCAGGAACTGAACCGTGTCCGTAGCCAACGCTCCGTACGTCTCAACTGCCAACCCAAAGAACCCCACGTAATCAGGCCGCCCCTCATACAATCTGTGTTTCTTCTCAGAAGCTTCCTTGGCCGCCCAACCTGGCGGCTTCCTAGCTCTCTTGTCTCTCTTCTGGAGTACCGGGTTAGTCACCGTCACGTCAGTGGACCATGTCTCTGCCGATTCTCTGTCCTGGAACGCCAAGTCCGCCCGCTTTCGGATGACAGGCGGAGAGAACACAGAAGTCTCATGGAAAGTGTTGAATCCCGCCTCCCTCGCCATTCTCAGGGCCGCATAGACGAGGCTGTTGTGTGTTCTAACCACATCTCCTCCCTCCCCGCAGCGCAGCAGATGATTCGGTAGGCTGGTGTCATCAATGTCCCCGTTCTCCCGCTTGCAAGGGCACTTCCCAGTCACTGGAAGGGCGAGGCCGAGGCGGAAGCCGAGTGCCAGCGAGAACTGACCACGGGATAATGTAAGGTCAGATTGGCACTGCGTGCAGCCAGTCTCCCGCCCCTACTTCTTTCAGGCGAACAAGTCGCACCCCATGTCCACAATCCTCCCCCGGCCGATCGATGATCGTGTCTGCCAGCAACTCCGCTGCTCGTCTTTCGTTGATGTGCTTAGATAGCAGCAGCTGTAGGTTCCCTTGCCCTGGCGGCCCTTCTCTGAACGCTTGGAGCGCCACCTTGGCGTCAGCTGGAAGGTCCTCTTCAAGAGAGGTCAGCCTGTTCATCGCTGGTGGTGGCGGGGTCCAGTTGTGAGATAGCCTAGTTACGGCACGGCTTTGTAAGTAAGTCTCAGGCAGGTTCATCTGCCGCAGCAGCTGCTGCGCTGCCGTCACCGACGCGATGTAGGCTGCCTGCGCCTCAGAGATGGGTATTACGATGCTGATGCCTCCCAGACGGACAGGTAACGTCGCCTGCCGCCACAGAAGGCTCTGCTCCTGTTCTGATGTAAGGACGTGTATTTTGGCTGATGGTAGGGCTGCCCCTACTAAAGACTCGCTCCACGCGCCTCCACTCTTCCTTCTCCAGCGACTCCCGCGGTGTTGTTCGAAGCAGGTACGAGACTCTGCGGGAAATGCTGCGGGAGAGGAGGAGGAGCGCGTGCTGGGGGTGCAGCTGTGCGATCAGGGGCACCGGTGCTGAGGCTTTGAAGAGCGCGGATCGAACCTGGTCGGTGCAGTAGACTGGCGTGCCTACCGGGCTGCCCAACACTCGGATGCCATCACTACTCAGTGCCGCCTTCTCCCGCCGCCTTCTCCTGCCCAACACTTGGATGCCAACACTCGGATGCCGAGGACTTCTCAATGTTGCATCGAAGTCCACATTTTGCAAGCCCTGCGACGATATGCTCAAAAGCAGTGAAAGCCTCCTCCTTCGGTCCCACAATCGTAATGTCGTTTGCATAGGCGATGATCGCGGCGTCCGGATCTAGCGTTGCAGTACGGAGTAGGGTGGGCTGTATCGCGGCCGCGAACAGCAGCGGGCCGAGCGGGTCTCCCTGCCGTACACCTCTGGAGCTTCGGATGTGGTCAACGCCTAGCTTTGGATCGATCAGCAGTCGCGACGGGCCATCGTAGAGCGTGCCCACCAATGGCAGCAATTGGTGGAGGTTGGACTGTGTAAGCGCTGAGAAAAAGGCTGCTCGCTCCACACTATTGAAGGCGTTTTCCACATCTAACTGTAGTGCGATGTGCTCGTCGTGTTCCTCCAGCAGGGCCCGCACCGTATGTATGACGCATTCCGCTCCTCCCGTCCATACAGTACTGGGAGAAAGAATTCGCGGATGCTAGGCGCGAGCTCGCGGAGTGCTGCTTTGGCCGCTACTCTGAGCAGGGCGTCGCCTATCGCAATCGGGCGCACGCCACCGTCCGGCTTGCTTTTGTAAGGCTATCAGTCTAGACGGCAAGATCAGCTCGCGAACCTCCTGCGTTTGCTTCCCGTTTAGTAGGTGGCGGATTACCGACGTGAGCAGGATACGTACTTCCTCGTTGCTGAGTGCGGGATCCTTGAGGTGTTCGAAACAAGTTCCTGACGGGCCTGCACCTACTCCATTCGGGCATTTCTGCAGGATGTCGCGAATGTCGTCTGGGGTCACATTCAGTGACGAGGCTGTCTGGCTGGTAACCCAGTCAGGGAGCGGGATTTCTGGTGTTTCGCCTGGAAGGCTGCAATGGTCGCTGGTGTAGCTTCAGCGAGGGGTGTTGTTTGTAACGCTGCCACTGCCTTCGACAGATTACCCTTTTTAATCAATCCCTCCGCTCTCGCAATAAGTCCTGCATCGTCGTGCTGGTGTCTTGTCGGTCCCCCAGTATCGGGTATGCCTCGTTGTACAGGTCAGCCCAAGCTCCCAGCCTGAAGTGGTGTAACCTTGTCTCAATCCCAATCCACCGACTTCCTTCCACAGGTTCGGGAGGAGGGCGTAGGGTCAACCTCGGCAAATACTGTAGGACTTCACATGCACCTGCGCAATCCGGATGGTTTGCGAGGCGCAGGAGGGGTGTAAGCAGGCACATCGTGTAGCTCTCCAGGGTCTTGGGTGTAACCGGCGGACAAGGAAAGGGCTGACCTCTGCGTTGAAGCGACGTAATGTCCCAACCACTCGCCAGGTGCCAGATGTTGTCATCGCTAGCCCGGTCAGCAGGTGATCTTTTGCTGGGTGCCACCGGGGCACTTCCCGCTAAGCCTGCTCCCACATTGTTGGATTCCGCTTGGCGACGGCTGTCCTCTCCACCACCCATACTGCGGATGTCTTCAGGCCGATCGACTTCCACCTTCTCTGAGGCATCATCCTGAGGCGATTGGGAACGGGAGGGTATAAACTGTTTGCCCACGCTTGCTTCCTCATTTGCCTCCACTGTTGGCCGTGACACAGATGTCGAAAGATGCCTCGCGCTCGGGGCGACTGCACTTGCCGAAGCCAGCCCAAGAGGGTCCCGGGCGACCAGGCGCCAGCGTTGCTCCGAGCCGCCGCGGCGCTGGCCCGGCGCAGAGCCTCACGGTCCTCCCGCGAGCAGCGTGGGCGTGGTCGTGCTGCCCGAGAGCCTGTGTACCACCCTCCTCCCGGGCGTGCTCCGCCGATTCTCCGGCCTCGGCAGCAGCAAGAGTTTCGACGGACGCGACGCCAGTCAAGTCGTCCGCCGCGTCCCGGACCCCGTGGCATGGCACAGAGGCAGCAGCAGCGATCGTCTCAGCCTCCCCCGCCTCTGCCGAATCCTCCAGCGTCGTCGGTGCCGCAGCAGCCTCTGTCTCTGCCAGCTCCGGTCGAACCTGATCCGCCTGCGCTCCCTCCGGCGGCACCCCTGCCGCCACTGCAGCCTGTAGCGCCGTCACTCCCAGCAGAGACTCTGCCGCCCCTACCTGCGTCGCCTCATCCATCGGCTGCCTCGCAAGCTGTCTCGCCACGTCCTGCGGCCGAGTACCCACAACTCTTGTGGGAGGGAGGCAAATCCCGATCCCATGGGAAGCACTGGGGCAGCGGGCTCCGTCTATTTCTCCGCAGCATGTGCCCACCCTTGATGAGCGTTGGAGCCTGTGGGTGGAGAACTTGCCGGTGGATAGGCTGCTCCGCGTCGAGCGGCGCGTAACGACCGTGGGGTTGTGCCTGGATCATCTCTCAACCGTTCTGGATCAACTGCACGCCTGCCTGAAGCGTCATGGTGTGGAGTTTCCGGACGAGAAGGAGCTCGCGGTGGCTGCAGCGATTGAGATGCTGCACTCCCTCCCACACGTTGGGCTTGAGATGGGCGCCCCCGGGATTTCCCGCGGCCCTGGTCCGACTGCTTTGCGGCGGTTGATATCCGCTGCCCGCCACTCCCCGCTCGACCTGATACCAGCCGCCGCATCCGTGTTACGCTGGATGGATGGGCGGCTGGTGTGGATCTTGACCGAGTGGTCGCCGCTGTCCCTTTGCCCGTCTGTCTTGTCGCCCTGGGCTTGGGCTTCCCCATGGCGGACCGTTCACACCTGGGGGTGTTGTTGTTGGGTGTTGTTGCTACTGCTCCATTCTGTATCACCGTTACCCTCTCCGTCTTCCTGCCACCCCTATCGCGCGGCCGCAGGCCGCGCTGGCGAGCGCGGCGGCCGGCGCGAGCTGCTGGGTTAGGAGGTTGAAAGCAAGGAACCAAAAGAAGAATGAGGCTCAAACCTGAGCCCTAGGGCCTTTATACTAGGCCGAAAATGGAACCACGACGAAATAATGAGAAGAAGCAAGCTAGGAAAGGCCTTAAATAGCCAAGAGGGCAGAGGGAGAAGGCGGAGGGCAGAGGGCTAAAGTTCCTCTCTCTCTCTCTCGCTCTCTCGAATGAGCCGCCGAAATTGAACTCCACACGAAATAATCCTCTGCCCTCTGCCCTCTATCTTAGCCCTCTGCCCTCTGCCTCATCCCTCTGCCCTCTGCCCTCCTGGCTTATTTAAGGGGCTCCCTGGGCTTGTTCTCCTCATTATTTCATGTTGTTTTCATTTTCGGCGGCCCAGCGAGACCTTTCGCTCTCTCTCTCTCTCTCTCTCTCTCTCTCTCTCTCTCTCTCTCTCCTCTCTCTCTCTCTCTCTCACGGTCCTTTGTATTGAGATTGGAAAAGGAAAACAGCAAAGGCAAGCCAGCAAGTGCAACACCGGTATGGCTAACTATTCTCCCCCCCTCCCCCCCCCCCCCCCCCCCTCCCCCCCCCCCCCCCCCTCCCCCGAGCTATCTACTCACTACCAATCCCTGGTTCCAGGGTAGCAAAGCACTCCCCCGGGTCTAGGACCCCCTCGGGGCCGCCTAGGGCAGGGTTCTCTTTTTGGGCTGCGAGGTTCATCTTGATGAGGAAGCTCACGGCCTGCGCCCTCTGCAAGGCGACAGACCACCGCTGGCGGAACTGGTGCAGCAGCTTCGCGGCTTGGTAGGTAGTGGGGTCCGCGTTGAAGTGCAAGCGTGCTGCTCTGTCCGCCAGGTGCTTCAGGAAAGCCTGTACCTCGTCGCACGGGCAGCCATACGTCTCGACCGCCAAGGGGTAGAAGCCCGCGAATTCTGCCCTGCCGTGGTACAGCCCTATCTTCTTATCTGCCGCCTCCCTCGCCGCCCATCCCCTTCCCTTCCTGGCCGTCTCGTCCCTTTTGCTGATAGGGTCGGTGATGGTTATGTCCCCCAGCCACACCGCCCCACCGCTTCTGTCCCGCATAGCCAGGTCGGCCCTTTTCTGGTCGACCGGGCTAAACGCCGTGCTCTCCTTGTGCACAATCAACCCTGCGTCCTGGGCCATCCGCACACACTCGTCCCGCAGCTCGTTGTGTGTGTTGGTCCGCCCGTGCCCCCAGCCGCAGCGGAGGAGGTGGTTGGGAAGGCGCTTGTCTGCTATGGCGACTCGCTTTGTGCAGTCACAGTTGTCGGGGACGGGGAGAGGCAGTCCTAGGCGGAACTGGAGGGCGAACGAGAAGTGGTCGGGGTCAAGGCGGAGGGAGGGCATGTAGGGAATGGCCAGCAGCCAGTCCCCTGCCCCGTAGCCCGTGAGGGACAAGAGCCGCTGGGTGTGGCCGCATAGGGGGTTCAGGTCCAGTTGCCTTGATGCTGCTACTTGGGCCGCACTACGTCCGCCCTGGACCAGGAGGGCGAGGCGGTGCTGCAGCTGTCCCTTTGGCGCTGCCATTTCTGCTGCCAGCAGGTCGCGCCCCTCTTGTGTGAGGCTTGCCTTGCACTCCCCAAGCCAGGCTTGCAGTGGGTTCGGGTCCGGGTCCACCTCCTCTGTCCAGTTCAGGGCGGTGGAGAGGTGGGACCCCGCGGGGCCGGGCAGGGAGGCGAGGAGTCCGTGCGCCTCAACAAAACTCGCCAGGTAGCTGTAGCGCCCTTCGACCGCCGGGTCCGCCAGCCCCAGGCCTCCCAGGCTGGGGGGAAGTGAAGCCTGATCCCACACCCGTCGTCCCTCCGCTTCCCCTCTTGGGTGGCGCACGCCGCAGGCGTCCAATAGTGTGTGGAGCAGCGCCTGCCCCCACCTTGACCATTCCTCCTCTGGCAGGAGGGTGAGCGGAGTGGTGCGCGCCAGGTAGGAGATCCGCCGAGACAAGCACCTCGTCAGCAGCAGCGATGCAGCCTGCGGATCCAGGTCGGCTATCATTGGGAGCGGTGATGCCATGGCTTCCAGCTGCGCCCGAATGAAGGTGGCTGCTCCATCAGGCGCGCCGATGAAACTGCCCAGAATACGCAACCCCTCGGGGCAGAATGGGACCCCTGCTGGCAGGGCCTCCTCCGGCGGGCGAACTGCGCTCCACGCCGCGCACTTTCCCGCGTTGTGCCTGAGGCCCACGCTACGGATGCTGGTGGTGAAGTGGTTGAACGCCGCCGTACAATCGGCCGCTTCCCCCAGGAACGTGACGTCGTCTGCGAATGCGAGGCAGAGTACGGTCGGGAAGGCGGATGCGGTTGCGACGAGGGCCGGGTGGATGCCCGCGGCGAAGAGTAGGGGCCCGAGCGGATCGCCTTGGTGGACCCCTGTACTGCTGGAGATGGGAGGGCTATTGAAGCCCGCGTCGAGGAAAAGTGCTGAAGGCGCACTGTAGGAGGCGTGGACTAGGGGGAGTATCCCTTCTAGCGCGCTCCTGCGCAGGCCTGCTACGATCGCCTCGCGGCTGATGCTGTTAAATGCGTTGGATAAGTCCGCCTGGAGGATCGTGGTGTCGCTGTGCGTGCTCATGTATGATCTGGCGGCGTGGATAATAGCTTCGCTGCCGCCCTGGACGGCGACGCAGTACTGGAGAGGGAGGAAGTGGGCTCGTGCTGCATCGGCCAGTGATGAAAGCGCCGATTTTGCCGCGAGGCGTAGGACGCACTCGCCTACAGCGATGGGCCTCGTCCCTCCCTCTGGCTTGGCGAGTGCTATGAGACGGGAGGACGTGAGCAGGGAGCACACCTCCTCGGGGAGTTTTCCCCGAAGGATTGTGCTAACGAGGGCATGGAGGTGGGTGGTAACGGCTGCGTTGGCGATAGCTGCTGCCCTGAGGTGTTCGAACGTCATCCCTGACGGGCCACCTCCCACCCCGTTTTCGCAGCGGCAGAGGATTTTCGCGAACGCTGCTGGGGTGATGGTCACTACTTGGGTCTCATCCGAGGCTGTCCAGTCGATATGTCCAGGTGGCGCGGGGGGGTGCTTGGATTTGAGCGAGTCCAGGACTTCAGGCGTTGGGGCAGCCACGGGTGTAGCTTCCAAGGCTAGGACAGCCCGCCGAAGGCTGCCCTTCCGAACAAGTCCTTCTGCTCTGGCCCGCATTCCCGTTCCGTCAGGCTGGTGACGTGGCGGGGGGGGGATGTTGATTGCTGCCACGGCGGCCTCATAGAGCTGTTCCCATTCGCCTCTGAAAAATTGACGCAGTCGCGACTCTACCGCGGGCCAATCCGGTTTTCCTGGCTTCGCCTGGCGAAGGATTAGGCGGGGGATAAAGAGTAACAGGCGCCAGCCTGGTACTGAGTCAGGGTGGCTCGCGAGGTGCAGCAGGGGTGTCAGCAGCGCGTTTGCGAAGCTGGTGCGAATGTCGTGTGGAATTTTGCGGCTGAGGGGGGGCTGACGACTGTCGCGAAGTGGTGTCAGGTCCCAGGTACTGATTTTGCCGAGCATGCGTCGTCCTTCGCCAGCTGCTCGGGCGAAAATTGGCGGGGTTGGGTTGGTGGGGCGGTGCTGGTGGGTGCCTGGGGGTGGGTTTCCACCCCAATTCTGACCGCTGCGGATGCGGCTCGGCGATGTGTTGCAGAATTCCCTCGACTCTCAACTCCTCCGGCTCCCCCTCCTTCGTCGCCATCACCTCCTTCTGTGAGGGATTCAGAGGCCGGCTGGGCTATAAAGGCGGGGTCTTGGGCCTCCTCTGATTCGTTGTAGCCAGCTTTGTTATTTTCGTCATCTCTTAAAGCCAGCCTCGCCTCCCGTTGGAAACCATTCTCCAGTCCACGGCCTCGCCCTCTCCCCGCAGCTCCCTGCCGACCGCCTCTGCCGCCCCATGATGCCTGTGGCGATTGGTGGCGGGTCGCCGCTCCCGTATTCACTGCGGCCCTTTGGCGTGGCGTTAGCTGGCCCTGCTGCACCGGCCTTGTCGGCGCCTGTGGCCCCTGTCGCAGCGATGTCTGCCGCGGGGTCTCCTGGTCGCGCGTCGTGCTCCACGGTAGTCGACTCTGGACGAGGGTCGGCCGGTGCGCCTGCCCCTCCGCGCGCAGTGGCCCCGGCGTCTGTGCCTGCCGGCGACCCGGCTCTTGTGCCCGTAGCGCCTCCTCCTCCTGTCCCTGACCGGGCGCCGTATCCTTCTCCTCTCGTCCCGGCGTTTCCGCCGCCTGCTGCAGCGGCTGCTGGTGCTGCTGTTGCGGTGCCTTCGCCTGGCGGGGACCCTCCACCCGCTCAAGTTCCGGCGCCGCCTCCGGGGGCGGCTGTCGCGCCACCCGCGACATCTGCCGCTGCGTCCCTTGGCTCGCCTGGCGGGAAATCTGCCCTTCCGCTCCCTGTGGTTCACCCGTCAGCGCCTGCTCATCCCCTGGTTCCTCCACCTGTGGCCGCTCCCCCGGCTCAGCGTCCGCCGTCGCCTGGCCGCCGACAGCAGCGGCCTCACTCTCCTGCTCCGCTTGGCCAGCGGGAGACATCGCGGCGCCGCCGCGATTCTCCTCGGCGCCGCGGCTCCCAGGGGAACCGGGCGGCACCCCGCGGGGAGCGCGGTGGCTGGTGGGGGCAGCGTCATCCCGGTGGTGGCTGGGCGGATGATCAGCCGGTGATGATGGCGGATCTGCAGCGTGTTGTGTCGGCCGCGATGCGCGAGGAGAGGAATGGGCTGGCGAACCGGGGCAATGTTCCGCGTGTTGCTCCGTCCCCCGCGGCTCCCCATCCCGTCGCGCACCCCGAGCCTGTGGCTCCGTTCCCGCAGGCCATTGCTCCGCCTCCTCCCGTTCCTCCTGCATCTGCTGCTGCCCCGGCGGCCCGCTTGGACCCGCCTTGGGTACCTTCTGCGGTTGACCCGCTGTCATACCATGCGTTGGCGGGTGCTCCACGCGTGGCTGAAGTCCCAGAGGCGTCTCTCGGCCAGCTATGGCGCCTCGCTGAGAGTTTGCGGGCTGTGCATCTGATCCAGGCGTACGGGCATGCTGCTCTCGCCCGTGGTTGCGCGCTGGTTGGCCGTCAGCGGGAAGAATGTCTCGACGCTGCTGATCGCCTCGCTGAGCTGCTGGCGCCCGTGTTGGCTGCCCCCGCGATGGGTGTAATTGCGGGCGTTGGGCAGCTTGGTACAGCTGTCCGTGGGTTGCGCCGGATCTTGCGTGCAGGCACTGTAGCCGATCTGATCGGCGCAAGTGTGGCAGCGGTGCGGGAGTTGCACCGCTCTCTGACCGGGCTCCTGGCGGTTCTTGACGCGGATCAGTACTAACCTCCCCGTCCTCCTGATCCATTGTTGCCTCGTAGGTGCTTTTGTTGTCTCCTTTGCTTGTGGCTGTGCTTGTCGATGTTGCGTATAGTGTTTCTCCTTTGTGGTCTCCCTTGCCGTCCTCTCGCGCGCGGCCGGAGGCCGCGCTGTCGAGCGTCGGCCGCCGAAGGCGGCCGGCGCGAGCCGCTGGGTTAGAAGAAACGAACCCGCGGAAAGAATAATGAGCCAAGCACCAGGCCCACGGCCTTATATAGCAAAGCTAGGGGCGGCTGAGAGGCTGAGAGGCTAAGGGACTAGGGGACTATGCCTCTCTCTCTCTCTCTCTCTCTCTCTCTCTCTCTCTCTCTCTCTCTCTCTCTCTCTCTCTCTCTCTCTCTCTCTCTCTCTCTCTCTCGCTCTCTAGCCGCTGGGTTAGA